AAATAAATAAATAAATTAGGTGATAGAAGAATAAAAGGTTGGATGCAAAAAGGGTAGAAAGAATTAAAAAAATTAAAAAGGAAGAGTAGAAATTATTATATCCCAAGTAATTTTAAGTGTGTGCATATTTGATTTAATTTCTTCCTTGGTCAGTCTTAAGGAAATAAATTAAGCTTTAGCCAGACTTTTACATTATATTGTTTATGAGTGTTGACAGATAAAACATCTTTTTACTACTCAAATTTAGCAATTTGTGTCTTATTTTAATGGTCATGCCATCTGAGAGAATAGTTCTAGAACTTTTATAAAATCACTGTTAGAGATATATAAAGATATACATGTAATATTTTAAGAAGAAAACTGAAAATGATGAATATCAGTTGGTAAAAAATACTAGTTCATTTTATGGAAAGAATGAGGTTACTATATAGTCATGGAATTACAGTGTTTTGTTTTTTTTAAAAAAAATTGCTAAACTTTTACATTGTTTTATTATAGATATTATTACAAAAATACTTTCTATAATACCTCCAAGAAATGGTATCACAAGGGACCTTTAACTGTTTATCCTTCATACATTTCTAAGAATAGTGCATGCTTTCTTTAATCAAAAAAATGAAAAATGACAATAACCTCCCATATTTTTTCTATGATGTATTTTCATAATTACAGAGAAAGCAAATTACAAAAACAGGTTTATCAATGGAGTAAACTGCTCACTTTTAGATTTGTATATATTATATCCAATGTGAAAACTTGCATTGAGTTATTTCATACCTTGCCTTTTTCAAAAAGGAATTGAAGTGTCTTTTACCCAAATTCAAAAGCCACTTAGGTATATTTAAAATTAATGACACTTGTGAACTCCATAAATACTTACTTGACCATACAGTAATTGTCTCTGATAACTTGCATGCATGTGTGCGCTAGAGCCTGCTGGGGTACGGGCTCGGAGCCAGGTCCTCTTCCCTGGATGAAGGGCTGCAGGCGAACTGCTGCTCAGCCTGTGTGAGGTTCCCCTTTCCACGCTTCAGTCAGCTCCTCCTGGGCGTGCTACTTTATTCCTCTCAAACTTAGTCTGCTCTGTTCAGTTGTGAGCCTAAATCTTCAGAAAGGAGAAATGGATATGGTGCCACTTCTTGAAGGAATAATGATATGAATTTTAAAAATGACAAGTTGAATAATGTGATCACTGAGAAAGTCATTGTGAAGAAAATCCATTTGTAGATAAGCTTCTTAGCAGGGCTGGGATAGGAAAGCGATGAACCAAAGGAACGTGGCTGCCATGTATATTTTCTCATCTCACCTCCTACTTTATCTTGTGACATTTATCACAGAAACAATGCAATAATTATTTTCTAAAATATTTCACAATGTATTTGAAGTTGGGAAACACCCAGATAGGAAGAAAGGCGTTTACAGTCTGTCCTCCCACCCTCCTTTGTAAGTCATAAGAGAAAAATTCTGGATGCTTCCAGATGTTGTGAAAAGATTCATTGTTCTGTTTCTAAGCTCAGGTGAGAGCATCATATTATTACATTTCCCAGCTTCCTTCTGTTTGACAACTTACTTTCTATAAACACAGGGATATTTTGCATTTGAAAGAATCTAAGGGACTTGAGCAGCCTCCTAACGCTTGCTTGCTTTCTGTGAGCCACTGTCTAGTGGATGCTTGGGGGGAATCCCACGCCTTGTAGTTTATGTGTCCCCACAGGAGGTATATATGATATGCTATGTAGAGACGGGCATTTTTCTGATGTTTAACACCCAGACTGATCTCATCGTATTGGGAGGCCCTCCACAGAACTGACGGATATTTATTCATTACTTGTAGTGCCAAGGCACTAGCAGTGCACCCCAGAGACGAGCAAGATACAGCCCCTGCAAGCTTGTAGTAAGGGGAAATAAATTGCTGATGTCAGCAGCAGAATCCTTAAGACCGCGATGGCAAACCTATGGCACACATCATTGAAGGCTCTAAAAAACCCACCATCACTGCCTTAAAATAAATAATTGATGCCTCTAGTAATGAATTGCTAGGGGCCTGTGAGATAGCTCAGCAGTCTAAAGTGCCTGCTTAGGCAAGCTTAGGTAGGTGCAGGGGACTGCAGTTTGATGCCCGGGACCACATGCTGCTCCAGCTTACCCTTATAGCTAGCTGGGGGGGGGGGGGTGTTGTTTACCTGCCTGACATAGGCAAGGTCCTGAGTTTGATTCCAGGAACAAAAAGCAAACCAAAACCAGAATTGCTATTTCTCCACTGGCCAGAGTCTTGCAAATCTTTAGCTCTGGTACTATTGAGAGAAAAACATTTTGAATTTGGTTTATTTTCAGGATTGACTAGTAAACAGAATTCTGCACTTCATACAGTTGCTTCCTATGCAGACCCAACAATCAAGCTGAGTCATGTGGTACAAAGTGATGGTGCTTGAACCATCGTAATGATGGTTGATTTTAGAGAAGTACAAAAGTCCTAAGTTGATTAATAAAATATGATTCTGTAATGATACTGGCTTATTCAGTCTGGTTTTTGGTTTTGTTTTTACCAAAACATAGTTATTCATTTAGAGAATTTCTTTTTGCTTAATATATTTCTTCTTTTGCAGGAGTTTATTTTGTCCGAAGACTATAACAAGATGACTCCTGTGAAAAACTATCAAGGTAGGGAGTGAGAAGATGGATTTCGTTACTGAGACTTTAAAATATTTTTTTGATAGGCCCAGTGTGGTGGCGCATACCTGCAATACCTGCACTTGGGAGGCCGAGGCAAGAGGATCTCTATGAGCTCACGGCCAGCATGTGTTACACAGGAAGACCTTATCTCAGACAAAGCACAACAAAACAATTTCTTGGTGGTGTTCATACTACAAGAGAATACTTACTTTACGTACTCAGGAACAAAGCAGAGCTGCATTTGAAGTCAGTATTTATTTAAGTTTGTGAATTTCTGAGGCCTGAGAAATTTGGGAGACTTGCTTGTGGGCCTTTGCTGGCCATGTGCAGCGCAGTTGGGCCATGTTCCCATGATGCCCAGCCCATGACCTTTGTCTTTGATGCTGTGCTCCTAAGATTGTCTTCACAGCAGACTCAGAAAGGCAGGTTGCCCAGTGCTGCTCTGCAGGAGCTCATGTCACATTGGGCTAAGTGATCAAGAATATGCGTATTGTAGAGGAAAAAGCATATATATATATATATATATATATATATATATATATATATATATGATGTCTTGCGAGCCAGGAGCAGTGTGTGGAAAGGTTTTCTTTTAATAAGGGTCTACAGGGTCTCATTATGTAGATCGGACTCAGTGATCCACCTGTGTTCAGCCTCCCAAAAAGCGGGGACTACAGATGTGCGCCACCACGCCCCTGGGGGCGGGGCTGGCACAGCACCTGGGGATTGAACCCGGCCTCTGCATCTGCCTGAGCAGGCGCTTTAAACCTCTGAGCTATTTTGCCAGCCCTGGAAGGGTTTTTCTTTATGCAGCCTGCCATGGCATGGAATCAGAGCATTAGACCTTCAAGACCCAAGAGTCAGCCTGACAAGGTGCCGCACAGCTGTAACACTGGATTTTGGGGAGGCTAAAACAGGACGATTGTGATTTTGAGGCCAGTCTTGTCAACTGAGTTAGCCCTGTCTCAAAATAAAATTTTACTGAGGGCTGGGGTTGTGGCTCATTGGTAGTCTCCAGTGCCACAGGAAAGGAGGCGACGTAGAGTCATTTCATCCAGATCTGATGACCCCTTTTCCTTTGCGAGACCCCAGCATCTCCCGTAATACCTCCCAGAAATACAGTAAGTCATTCAGATTGTGGAAAACTCTTTAAGAACTCAGTTTTTATTTTTTTAAAGTTTAGAACTAAAATGCATTCCCTGTGGTAGTTTTAAAATTTTTTTTTGTGTCACTCATCAAATATTTATTGAGTACCCACTATGTTACAGTAACTCGGGGTTATAATAGTGAACAAAACATGAATGGTCTGTCTGTAAGCACTCTATAATTATGTGGAGGACACAGGCAGGTAAATGCTTCATTAACCTGCTACTTGATAAGTAGTAGAATGTTCTCTTGTTCTCTGCTCAGGCTGTTAAAGCTACAAAAACAGTCAGTTCACATGACAGGCTTTCAGTTATTCTGAACCAGCCACGAAAGTTCTCTTTCATGGCCTTATTTCTCCTTGTTTACTTTTTTTTTCTCTTTCCTTTTTCACTCTAAACATTTTATATCTGGACTCCAACATCTTTTCATGACCTGAGCTTTAGTCCCTTCAAAATGTCTTCACTGTCTTCGTTACAGATTTGGGGTATTATACTGTACCTTCATGACTACTTAAAAAATATAACATGATATGGCACGTAGTCCCTAATGATCATCACTTCCTGATAGCCGCACTCTTCTCCTTGACTGTAAGCTAGACTACAATTTGATGAGCGATAGTGATAACTCAAGATTAGGTTTCAGGGCTGGTGAGATGGCTCAGTGGTCTAAAGCACCTACTTGGAACAAGCTTGGCAAAGCACAGGGACCGCAGTTCAATCCCCCAGCACCACATGCCAGCCAGCCCCGCCTCCTGGTGGGCTGAGCTGCCCCCCCACACACATAAATAAAATTAAAAAAAAAAAAAAGATTAGGTTTCAGAGGCCAGGGTGTCCTTCGTGCTAGCCCTTGTCTGCTCTCGCTTGATTTCTGGCAGGAGGCAGCTGCCGTATTGCAGGCTGCCTCTGTGCTGAGGCACTGAGGGAGGGCTCATGGCCATTGAGGACTAACACCTGCAGTCAGCAGCCACTGATGGGCCAACCCAGTCACCAGCCGTGTCAGAAAGTTTGGGGACTGACCTTCCTTCTGCTGAGCTTTCAGATGAGACCAGTGTTCCACCCCACACCTCCGGTTCGTCTCGTGACAGAACATGTGCAGAGGCACCCACCGAGATGTCTGGCCCACAGAAACTGATTGGTTTACCCACTAACTTTTTTAAGTTTTGCCCTCTAGGTTTTTTAAAAGTTTTGCCTGAGGGACTGGTGAGATGGCTCAGTGGTCTAAAGCACCTACTTAGAACAAGCGTAGCAAAGCACAGGGACTGCGGTTCAATCCTCCAGCACCACATGCCAGCCAGCCCCGCCCTCTGGTGGGCTGAGCTGGCCACACACACACACTAAATAAATAAATAAATAAACAAACAAATAAATAAATAAAATTTAAAAAGTTTTGCCTGATAAGTAACTTGTTACATGCAGTAGGTAACAGACTGATACATGTATGTAATCAGGTTAGCACAAATTCACTCTCCTGCCCTGTCCTCTTCTGGGCCCTGTTCTTGTAACGCAGAGGGTGGACCTCCTGGCAGCACTTTTCACCACGGTGGAACAGTCGTCCTCAACAGTCCGCACTTGAGTTGTTTTTAAGCTCTACCCCCCCCCCTTTTTTTTAAGGCAGGGTTTCACTATGTGATTCAGGCTGGCCTTGAACTCACTTTAAAGTTAAAGCTGACCTTGGACTCGTGGTGATCCTCCTGCTTTAGCCTCCCACGTTCTGGGATTCTAGGTGTTTGTCTCCAGGCCCAGGGTCCCATACTATTGAAGGTACCTTTTATTTTTATTTTTAGTGTAAATGCTGGACCTTGCAGTCTTTTTTTTTTTTTCTTTTTGGTGGAACCGAGGATTGAACTCAGACCCTTGTACTTGCCAGGGAAGTGCTTATTCTGCTAAGCCATCTCCCTGGCCCCTTTGCAGTCATTATTAATCATCTCATTTTCTTTAGCCTGTCAGGATATTTTGTATGGCTGGTAGTTATTAGATATATTCATTCTTTCTTCATTTTGTGTTTTCATGAAATATGCTATTCACTACATGTTAAAAGTAATGATCAGTCTCACAAGTATACATTTGATGCATGTACCATTAGAAACCACCCTTCATAGGCCACTAACTTAGAGGTACTTTAATATACCGCTTGTATTTCTATTTTTTTTCCTATAAGGGATTATAAAATTTGGTAACTACACTGTTGTGGAAACTGTGTCTTCACAAACACCTGGAGGGGAACATTAGGTGGCAGGCTTTTGATGGTATCTGTGGTTCTTTTTAATATAATGCTAAGTTCAAGAGAGAAACCAAAGGACCTTTCGCATGTACCAGAGCAGGGAAAATTGTATATGTAGGAGCTGCAGGAGTGGCCACTGGAGCCGTTTCAGGAGGCAGGGGCTGTAGGAGCCGGATGCTGGTGTAAGAGCATGTGCTGGAGGAGTAGCACGAAGGCCTGTGCCTGAGTGAGATGGAAAGGGAGCAGGGAGATTTCCTAGAAAGCCTGTGAAGAATGGCATCCCCAGAAGGAGAGGTCAAGGACTCAAGGAGGACTACAGGGAAATTGATTCTTGACCCCAACCCAGATAAAAGGAAAAAGTTGTGATGAATCAATACCCCAAGTGAAAACTTTGAGATTTTTAATACAAATTAACACTAATTATGTAGTGCTAGAAACTTTATGTTTGAAAAAATAAATATCAAATTAATCCTTGGTCACTACTATCCCAGGTTTACTTGCTGGAAATAAATGCAGAATCTCTTTGTAAAAGAGATGGCCCAAAGGCCTTTACAATGAAATCAAGCATTGTTGAGCTGGGGCTGTAATTTATTGAGAGCCTTCACCGAGGAAGCACACAGGTGGCCCTGCATTCAGTGCCCTGTTCCACAGAAAAACAAGCAAAAGGGCTGGGGAGGCCCTTTTGTGACTGGGTTGAATCCCCAGCATTGCATGCCGGCCCATCCCTGGGGCACGCTGAGACAGTGACTGAGACTGGGTTTGGTGGTACACACCTGTAATCCCAGTGCTTGGGAGACTGAAAGCAGGAGAATCACTAGGAGTTCAGTCTGTGTAGTGAGACCCTGTAGACCCTGTACTAAAAAAGGGGGACTGGGGAGATAGCTCAGTGGTCTAAGTGCTGCCTGTCAAGTATGAAGTCCCAAGCTTGATCCCTGGTACCACATGCTGTGCTGGCACACTGTGCCAGCTCCAAAACCAGGTGTGGTGGCACAGGCCTGTAATCCCAGTGCTAGGGAAACTGAGACAGACGCTATGAGTCTGAACTGCATAGTGAGACCCAGTATCAAATAAATAAAACAAGCAAAAAGAACTGCTGAAGAGGAATTGATAGTTTTTTTAAGCCTCCACAATGTATTAGGAGATATCACAGACAGGAAGATTAGAATACCAAGAATGTTCAATAATATGAAAGAAACAATAACATAAGGTTTTATTTATTTTGTATATTAGGGGTCTACAGGGTTTTCAGGGTCTCACTACTAGATCGGACTCCTAGTGATCACCATTTGTAGCCTCCCAAGAGCTGGGATTACAGTCACCATGTCCAATCTCAATCACTTTCTCAGCGCGCCCTGGGGGTGGGTCCTGCATGGCAGGCCCAGGGTTTGAACCCCTGGCCCCTGCGCCTGCTTTGTTTGTTTTGTCTTTTGTTTTGATTAGTATATATTTGCAGTACATAATGATTGCATTCATCCTGGGATGTTGGTATGTGTACCTAATGCATCTTAATTCTTCATATACCTCTTTCCCCTCTTGCCCTCCCTTCTTTCCTCTGTTTCTTAGTGGGGGATATTGTTTTTCTAAACTATAACAACAACAACAGAAAATCAGTGGGTAGATTA